TGTTTATTATTGTGTTTGATATAATATAAAAGTTTTACATCGGTTTTTCCTGCTAGGCTTATAGCAACAATTAAGAAAAGCTGGGTATAGAATAGTAGCACTTGCCTCTGCCTCGGAGGTTCATGCCAAGGGGTTGACCCCTTCTCATTCCCAGCAGTTCCCTTAGCCTCACAGAGACAAACCATTCAGCTTAATGGCCTGTGGGTCTGAAATTTTACCTTATAAAAATATTTTCATTTCTGTTTGCTTGTCTGAAAGGAAAAACTCCCATCTGGTGGGATGAGGTTAATTGAGGAGACCATCGGCACAGTCCACCACAGTCCAGCCTCTGTGTCCTGCAGACCTGTGGCCAGTCATTCTTAGCAGGAGTGCAGTTGTCCCTCAGGCACCAGGGTGGGAGTTGAGAGGACATCCGTCGATAACTGGTACAGTTGGATCTGAATCACCTGGGTGAGTTATTAACCCAAAACATCAGTAGTTAATCATGCTTCCCCTGTCTATTCCCAGAGACTATGTATTGCAATTTCTCAGGTAAAAGAGTATATCGTCAAAAAGACTTTGAAAATTGCAATGCACATTGATAATGTAAAAGCTTGTCAGCTAAAATACTCAGAGAAAGAAGAGGTCAATTCAAGATCAAACCAATCTCTTAACTGTAATATTGTTTCCCTGTTTAACCCAGCTCAAAATAAATGTAGCATGTACTGCACTTGACAACATTTCAGTTCAAACCTTGGATATCATCAAGGCTTGGATTAGTGTCCTCCGGAGGTCTTAATAAATGGCTTAAAACCACAGGAGAGAATTCTCTTACAGTCCTGGAAGCCGGAAGTCCCAGAACAAGGTGTAGACAGGGGCGCACTCTCAATCAAAGACTCCGAGGGAGAATTCGTGTCCTGCCCTTTCCAGCTCCTGTTGGCTCCAGGTGTCCTTGGATTACAGCCATATCATTCTACGCACCGACACTGTGGTCACATCACCCCCTCTTCTGAGTGTCTCCTCTGTGTGTCTCTCATAAGGGCACTGGTCATTGGATATAGGGCCCACCCAGATAATTCAGGATGATCTCATCTCAAAATTCTTAACTTAATTAATCTGCAGGACCCTTTTACCAAATAAGCTCATGTTCACACGTTCCAGGGATTAGGACCTGAACATACCTTTTTTTTTAGAAAATATTAAGCTGCTTAGGTGTCATCTTCTTAACAATTGGAATGGCCACAATGCAGTTAGCTTTTACCCTGTTACGTTGTTAAGGTCGGATGTAACCATGGTTCCCTCCCAAGAAAAAACAAACAGAAAACAAGTTCTGTCATGATAAAAATAAATGAAGAGATATTAACGACAAGGCTGACACTGAAAAACACTGGAAAACAAAAGCCTTTCTATGGGTTGCTGTATTAGTTTGCTAGGGTTATCATGACAAAGTACCACAGACTGTATGACTTACACAAGAGAAATGTATTTTTCTCATAGTTCTGGAAGCTAGAAGTCCAGGATCAAGGTGTTGACAAGGCTGGCCTTCTGAGAGGCCTCTCTCCCTGGCTCGTCGATGGCCATCTTCTCCCTGTGTGTTTGCTGGTCTTCTCTCGATGTGCATCTGTCCAGATTTCTTCTTCTTATAAGGACACCTGTCCTATGTAATTAGGGCTCATTCTAATGCATCATTTTAACTCAACTCACTCTTTAAGACCCAGTCTCTGAGTATAGTCATGTTCTGAGGTATTGAGGGTTAGGGCTTTAACATGCAGATTTTAGGGGAATACAGTTCGTCCCATAACAGTCAGCAAACTTTTTCTTAAAGGGCCAGCTGTGCAGGCCATTTGGTCCCTGTCACAACTACTCAACGCCACCATTTTAGTTTGAAAGCAGCCAGAGATGATTCAAACACATGTATGTGGCTGTGTGGCCAACAAAACAAGCAAAACAAAAATGAGGGGATGAGGTTCAAGAAACAAACATAACTGAGTGACCTTCTAGCTGTAGTGTTTCACCCCCCAGATGGGACTTCTGGCTCAGGGACGCTGAGCTCCCAGGCACAGGTGCCTCATGGAGACCACATGGGCACACGAATATTGCTGCATTTAGTTTTCCTTTTTTAGAAAAAAATTTATTTTTATTGTGGTAAAAACTTGTAGCATATATTATAATTTACTATCTTCACTAGTTTAAAGTGGGAAGCCAATTAGCTTTGTGTGTAGAAGATTTCTAGAACTTTTACATTTCACAACGTGGAGATTCTGGACTCATTAAAGAGCTCTCCGTGGTCCCCTCCCTCAAATCCTGATGACCACCATTCCACTCTGCTTCTAGGAATTTGGCTACGTTTTATATAAGTAGAATCATGCCGTCTTTTTTGTGCAACTGGTTCATTTCACAGTGCATATTGCCCTCAAGTTTCATCCATGTCAGATGAAACAATGACACAATGTCCTTATTTTTAAAGGCTGAATACAATTCTGCTGTATGTATATGCCAAGTTTTCTTCCCCCCTCATCTTTAGATGGACACTTAGGTCATTTCTACCCCCTGGCTAGTGTGAATAATGCTACAATGAACATTGGTGTGCCAACGCCCCTTTAAAATTTTGTTTCCATAACTTGGATATGTTCCAGGAAGTGTTGCTTTTTGGATACCTTTGATTTTTTTTATCTGCAAGAGAAAGATGCGCTCCTTCTGTGAGTTTGGAAACAATTGCTTTGGAGGGTCGTTTCTGTCCACTCTTGAGGACTAATCGTGTGGTGTTGGTGAGTGCGAGGCTGGGAAACGGCAAAGGCGAAGCAGGAAACAAACAAAAATAAACACCCTGAGAGAACACCGTTTTTCCTCCGGACTCCTAAACACCCATTCGCATCAACAGCGTTTAGATGTGGAGTAAATATACCTCTTAAGCAGAAAAATATCGGTTTATGGAAAGCAAGAGACTGTGAAGGAACTGGATTTCCAGGTCCATTTCTAATTGAGCTTGAAATTTTGCATATGGGGCTAATTTAATTTCCCAAGGTCTTTTGGGGATCGTTACCATCACTAAACTGGAGCTAAGTATATGCAAGTTGGAGGAGAAAATGAGAGCTTTCATTTGCTGGATGAAAAACTGCAATAAATGGAGCCCCAATCAGCAATAGGACACAGTGTAAGTAAGGTATGTGAGAAGTCCCCCTATAATAACCATGGAAGGTCTGCTAACCAAGGGCCTAGTGATATTGCCTCTGAACCCAGTAGTGGTTAGGGAGCAATGAGAATCACTATTTTTTGTTACAATAATGGCTCCCATAAAAAAAAATCCGAAAGGTCAAGAGGCTCAGAAACGGTGGGATCAAGGTCTCAGATATCATCAGATCTCAGTTTCTCTCACCACCTCTTAGAGAAGTTTGGCCATATGGCAAGTACTATGGCCACTACTAACCCAACACACACTTAGCAATTCCACCAGCACAGCAGCATCCCCCAATGGCTTTTAGCATAAAATTCCCAGTGACAGCTCCAGTTAGTGTACTTGGGCCATGTGTCTGTCCCCAAACCTACCACTGGGACAAGGGCCAGTGGAGAAAACAAGAGTTCTATTTTAGAAAATGAATGAAGAAATGTTAACTATCAGAAAACAAGGAGGCTTCAATGTTTAATCGAGAGGGTAAGATGGGTCAGTCTCTGTGGCCTCTTTCAGCTCAGACCTTGCTGTTCGAGTGAAACAACTCAAGATCTAAGTCCTCAGCCACCATTACTGTATCTGTACAGGTCACAGCATCCACTTGGTGATAAAGAGTAAGAGTCAGTTGCTGGTTAGAGGGAGAGGATTTCCTTAAATGGAAGTCACTGGCTTGTTGCACCATACATAGTTTTTCTTTTCATTAACAGTTACAATTTCATAAGCTAGAGTGCAGCAACATGGGGGTGGACAGGGGTGATGAGAAAAGGTGTCTCTGAGGAGGTGGCATTAGTGTTGAGACCTGTGTGGAAAAGGGAGAGTTGTACCATGCTCTGGGGGAAGAACATTCCACATTCAGAAGTGGCAGGTGAAAAGTCTGAGATGGCCCTGGTATATTCTGTGCCAGAAGAAGGCGTCTGTCTGCCTGGACCACCAGTCCTAGGAAACTAACTACACTGGGTCTCACAGGGTCCCACCTGATCTGATTCCCTTTGCTCTCTGACCTTCTCTCTTGACACTACCCTGAACCCTGCACACGAGCCACTCTTGCCTGCTGCCTTATATTCCTGAGACTCCAGGCATCCTTCAGCCTCAGTACGGTTTGCTAGCTTCTCTCTTGGGACTGTTCTTCTATTTATATTGACATGCCCAGCTCTCTTTTCCCTTCAAGTTTTTGGTCAATTTTCACTTTTTACCAAGGCCTACCTTACCTGTATACAAATTTATCACAGTCTCTCTCCCACCAGCTCACCCCCACACACCTAATAGCCTTTGTCTGCTTTATTTTTTTCCTTCCCACTTAGCTTCTTCTAATATGCTATGGACTTACATATTCTATTTATTGGTTACTGTCTCTTCCTCCAACAGCATGCAAGATCCACGGGAGATTTTTTTCTGTTCACTGACGTATTCCCAGTGTCCAGGACTGTGTATATTCAAATACATATTTTTTGCATGTAAGAGTGGGAAGAGAAGGGAAGAAAGATTCGTCTTCTCAGTCCTAGTTTCTTACTCTGAAAATACAGTATCTACCTTTGTCCTGCGGCCCTGCATCTGCCTCCAAGTCCCTGAAGTCTGGCACGTATTTTAGAGCCTCGTGCCCTGGGTATTTAGGCTTAAATATAACTGCACAATATTGTCCCGAGAAGAGGCCAACTCCCATTGTGGGACCACCTTGAGGGACGGTCCTACTTCTCTCACTGCCCAGAATTGTAATATGCAGAAGGCCACTGGGCAGAAGTAAGCCCTTGGCCAAGGATGGAAATTCACCTGCTGGTGGTCCTGTCGGGCTAAGATGTTTCATTGTAATTGTGTTGATTGCGAGAGGATTTGAAAAAGTTTCCTTTTACATTTTGTGAAGAGGCGCAGGCCGAGCGGTTGTGCCCGCGTTTCTGACCTCCATCAGCAGTCGTCTATTCCACGTAGTACCCTGGAGTAGGAGATTCAGAATCGAATCTCTTCTCCCTTCTCCCTCCGGGTTACAAATCTCTTGAAACATAAGTTAGTGGAACTTTGCTTGAGGGCAGCAAGGCGAACCCCATCCCTACTCACTGGAGCTCAGCTTTGATTTTTAACCTCCCTACCCCACCCTTCCAGAACACACACATTCCCATTCCAAACTGATTTTATTTTTAAAAAAAACAACAAAAAACCATTTTAAACATAATGATGCAACTTGGTGTGCACTACGGCGAATTTACAGTGAGATTTTTTTGATCTTCAGCTACACTGCAGCAACATGGATGCCCAGCCTGGAGCAGCAGCAGCCAGGATGACCTGGAGCCAGGGGGGCCTTCGGAAAAGATGCACACCCTTCCTGGGTGATGTTTCAGCTTTTTGAGGAACCTTATCATCAAAGACAATGGCCAGCAATGTTACCAACAAGACAGATCCTCGATCCATGAACTCCCGTGTATTCATTGGGAATCTCAACACTCTTGTGGTCAAGAAATCTGATGTGGAGGCTATCTTCTCAAAATATGGCAAAATTGTGGGTTGCTCCGTTCATAAAGGCTTTGCCTTTGTTCAATATGTTAATGAGAGAAATGCCCGGGCTGCAGTGGCAGGAGAGGATGGCAGAATGATTGCTGGCCAGGTTTTAGATATTAATCTGGCTGCAGAGCCAAAAGTGAACCGAGGAAAAGCAGGTGTGAAACGATCTGCAGCGGAGATGTACGGGTCAGTACCAGAACACCCTTCTCCGTCCCCTCTACTCAGCTCCTCTTTTGACTTGGACTATGATTTTCAGCGGGATTACTATGACAGGATGTACAGTTACCCAGCACGTGTTCCTCCTCCTCCTCCTATTGCTCGGGCTGTAGTGCCCTCGAAACGCCAGCGTGTATCAGGAAACACCTCACGAAGGGGCAAAAGTGGCTTCAATTCTAAGAGTGGACAGCGAGGATCTTCTTCCAAGTCTGGAAAGTTGAAAGGAGATGATCTTCAGGCCATTAAGAAGGAATTGACTCAGATAAAACAAAAAGTGGATTCTCTACTGGAAAGCCTGGAAAAAATTGAGAAGGAGCAAAGCAAACAAGGAGTAGAGATGAAGAATGATAAGTCAGAAGAGGAGCAGAGCAGCAGCTCCCTGAAGAAAGATGAGACTAATGTGAAGATGGAGTCTGAGGGGGGTGCAGATGACTCTGCTGAGGAGGGGGACCTACTGGATGATGATGATAATGAAGATCGGGGGGACGACCAGCTGGAGTTGATCAAGGATGATGAAAAAGAGGCTGAGGAAGGAGAGGATGACAGAGACAGCGCCAATGGCGAGGATGACTCTTAAGCACATAGTGGGGTTTAGAAATCTTGTCCCATTATTTCTTTACCTAGGCGCTTGTCTAAGATCAAAATTTTCACCAGATCCTCTCCCCTAGTATCTTCAGCACATGCTCACTGTTCTCCCCATCCTTGTTCCTCCCATGTTCATTAATTCATATTGCCCTGCGCCTAGTCCCATTTTCACTTCCTTTGACGCTCCTAGTAGTTAAGTCTTACCCTGTAATTTTTGCTTTTAATTTTGATACCTCTTTATGACTTAACAATAAAAAGGATGTATGGTTTTTAAAAAAAAAAAAAAAAAAAGAAAAAGTTTCCTTTTAAATAGAAAAAAAAATGAGGGGTAGTGATTCCTAACATCTTAGCACCTATGGCAGATCTTAGCATCTGTCAAAATTTATACAAAATCTAAGTTTACAAACAAGCCTTAGCTGTGTTTACTCCTTCTTACAGCTCCATGTGGCTTATCTTGGCCTTTCCTAATTTATAGGATATTCATTCCTTGGAGAAACTGGACATCTTTATCTGGCCATCGCATCAATGGGGTTCAGTAAATCAGACTAAATTTACTTCATTATAATGATGAAGGTACTTCATTATTATAAAATTTAACATTAACATCAACCTTTATAACATTTTACCCACAAAAAATCCTAAGAAGGCTAAAAAAAGAAATTCTACAAAAAAATTTTATGTGTATTGGTGTCGGGGCAGGGATTAGCATAAAGCAGTTATAAAGGCTCACTACCGTGTATATGTGAAAGCTGGAAAACAGATTCCCATGATCCCTAAGAGCCAGAAGAAAATGCAGGCACACTGGCTTCCTCATTCTCCAAATTGGAAACATCTGTGTTGTCCAGGCTCTCACTTTTCCCATAGTCAAAGGGGCAGCTCCTAAAACTGGGCGGCTTCAGAAGTGTATGAGGGTTTTTGGAACAATAATAACGCAGGGTGTCTTGAATTTAGGAGACCCTAAGTATCTTTGACTCTTCGGGGATATGGAACTAATTGGGGTGGCCCCAACTATTTTGGTTGTAGAAATTAAATAAAAATATAAATACATTATTTTGTTTAAAACACACCACCATAAATGTTTATTTTGCATACTTTTAAGAAAGAAACAAATATCCGCTAATGAAATCAAGACCAATGTTTTCACATTACTTAGGATATTTACTTTATAATGGTAAGAATAAGTGTTTATTATAAATTATTCTTATGCTCAAATGTGTGTGTAAGGGAAATCAATTGGTTAAGGTATTTCTAAAATTTCTTCCGACTCAGAGCTCAATCTTCTGAACACATTTTGAACTTGGACTGCTGCTGATACCACACTCGCAAAGACAAGACTACTTTCTCTGGATTTTCTGCCAATCCTCTGACATCTATCCTGAAAGTTTTGTTGTTGGTACTTTCTTCACCTTTTAAAAAATATATTATATTGATTATGCTATTGCAGTTGTCCCATTTTCCCCCTTTCAACCCACTCTCCCTTGCCCATCCCCTCCCACCCACATTCCCTCCCTATAGTTCATGTCCATGGGTCGTACATATAAGTTCTTTGACTTCTACATTTCCTATACTATTCTTACCCTCCCCCTATTCATTTTCTACCTACCATCTATGCTACTTATTCTCTGTACCTTTTCCTCCTCTATCCCCCTCCCACTCCCCTGTTGATAACCTTCCATGTGATCTCCATTTCTGTGGTTCTGTTCCTATTCTAGTTGTTCGCTTAGTTTGCTTTTGTTTATGCTTTAGGTGTGGTTGTTAATAGCTGTGAGTTTGCTGTTTTTTTACTGTTCATATTTTTTCTCTTCTTTTTCTTAGATAAATCCCTTTAACAGTTCAAATAGTAAGGGCTTGGTGATGATGAAGTCCTTGAACTTGACCTTATCTGAGAAGCATTTTATCTGCCCTTCCATTTTAAATGAAAGCTTTGCTGGATAGATCAATCTTGGTTGTAGGTCTTTGGATTTCATGACTTGGAATACTTCTTTCCAGCCCCTTCTTGCCTGCAAGGTTTCTTTAGAGAAATCAGCTGACAGTCTTATGGGCACTCCTTTGTAGGTAACTGTCTTCTTTTCTCTTGCAGCTTCTAAGATTCTCTCCTTATCTTTCATCTTGGGTAATGTAATTACGATGTGCCTTGGTATGTTCCTTCTTGGGTCCAACTTCTTTGGGACTCTCTGAGCTTCCTGGACTTCCTGGAAGTCTATTTCCTTTGCCAGATTGGAGAAATTCTCCTTCATTATTTGTTCAAATAAGTTTTCCACTTGTTGCTCTTCCTCTTCCCCTTCTGGTACCCCTATAATTCAGATGTTGGAACATTTAAAGATGTCTTGGAAGTTCTTAAGCCTCTCCTCATTTTTTTGAATTCTTGTTTCTTCATTCTTCTCTGGTTGGATGTTTCTTTTTTCTTCTGATCCACTCCATTAGTTTGAATCCCAGTTTTTTTTTTCATCACTATCAGTTCCCTGTACATTTTCCTTTATTTCACTTAGCGTAGCTTTCATTTTTTTATCTAATTTGCGACCAAATTCAACCAATTCTGTGAGCATCCAGATTATCAGTGTTTTGAACTGTGCATCTGATAGGTTGGCTATCTCTTTGTCACTTAGTAGTATTTTTTCTGCAGCTTTGATCTGTTTTTTCACTTGGGCCACTTTTTTTTTGTCTTCCTGCACCTATTACCTATGAGGGGCAGAGCCTTAGATGTTCACTGGGAGGGGTAACCCACATTGCTGTGTTGTGATGCTATATGTGGAGAAGGGGTCCAAGAGGGAACAGTGGCACTTGCTCCACTCTCTGCCAGCTTTCAGTCACTTCCCTCACTCCCCACAAGCAAATTGGGCCCTTCTGGTGCTGATTACCAGGTGGATTGGTCTTCTGTACATTATAGGACCCCATGGGTCTCTCCAACAAACTCTCCTATGAGACTGGGAGTTTCTCCTGCTGGCACCTCAACCCCTACAGGTGTTTTCCATCAGTGGTTTGAGGCTTTATTTCCCTGAGCTGGAGCTCTGGGTTACGCGATCTGTCTCGCTCCCCAGTCGTTCCTCCAGGTTTATCTGTGTGTGAATGTGGGACCGCCCGCTCCACCAGCCACCACAGCCTGGCCGGTCAGCTGCAGCCTTGCAAACCCCACTCCACAGTCCAGTGCTGGGTCCACCAGCTGCAGCCTTGCCTGCCCCATTCCTCCAGCCATTGCCTTGCCACAAGTCCTCTCTGAGTGCCAGTCTCTGCTCCTCCTACTGGTCTGAATAAATGTTTCTTCTTTAACTCCTTGGTTGTTGGATTCCATACAGTTCAATTTTCTGTCAGTTGTGGTTGGTTTTTGCTTTTAAATTGTTGTTCTTCTTTTGGTTGTGCGAGGAGGCACAGCGTGTCTACCTACACCTCCATCTTGGCTGGAAGTCCCAGTACTTTCTTCATCTTGTCAAGGTGTCAAATGAAAGTTTTCAGACAATAGCTAGGATTCAGGTCTTCGGTCAAATGGTCTATGAATAGATGTTTAATGGCAGACTCCAGGGACTGCATGTGACCCCTTTCCCCACTTGGAGTTACAACCACCTTTGCTCTCATGCAAGTCACAAAAAACTGTATCTCTTGATTGACAGCAATTGTAAGATACTGCAAAATGCATCCTGATTTCAAAGATGCTGAATGATTTTTAAGAAGTGTATCTTTGCATTAAAAAATAATTCTTCTATCATTTTCTACTATCCTGACCACTAAAATGACAAGATGGAAATACAAGATCCCTGAAAGAATATCAAACCTCTTTTCATTGCTTCTCTATAAAATCAACATGGTAGGAGATACTTACTGAATTTTTAGAACTTAAATAACCCAGCACGGCCATGTTCACACATGTGCACACTTTATGTTACATAAATTAATACCAATGCTTTGGACTCTACTTTCTCAAAACTGCAGGCTTCAAAAATACTTGCACTCATTTTCTGAACCATCTGTATTGATGAAAACTATATAAAAATAAAGAAGTAATAAAAGAACTTTAAAATCCTTATAAAATAATGACAATTTTAGCCCCTGACGCTTCTATTAACCAAATTATAATGAATTTCAACTGCAGCTCAAAATTTTTAGTAACTTAGTCACTTCTGATCCATTTCAGAAGTAGATGGCAATAAATTTTAAATACATTAAAAGGCTTATTAAATTTCTTTATAACATTGCTCATAAGTTTAACATTTTATTTTATACTACTAAAATCCAGTTCATGTTTCTGTTAAATGTGATCCATTTTCAGAGATCCATACTAACGTTTTCATCACAATTCCTGACCTCAATTGAATTGGCAAATGAAATTTTTTGTGCAAGAGATATTATCCAAATGGAAAAAATTTTTGAGCCCTGAAGTGTTGTATCACTTATTGGAGCCTTGGAAACAAATGGAAAATATTTACCAGCCCATAATTTTTAGTAGCCTGCCTTTCCCAAACGTGTAGGCACATAATAAATGAAATAAAACCCATATTCCTTCCCACTCAGCCTGGCACAAAATGTACTTGCATTTAGAGGAGCAATAATATTCAACAATTTCCTTCCTTACACACATTCTAAATTATAAGCAGAACCAAGTATCAAATAGAATAGCAGCACAGCCTGAGTGTAGAGGAGGACTCTACAGACTCAAGGCTGGTACTAATTTTCAAATCACTGTAGGTACCATATGTCCTCTTGTTCATCCTTTCACACCCTCACAGCGAATGAATAATGGTTTATTTAGTTTTTGTTTGCTGCTGTTGCTCACAGGGAGGGCAGGTGAGCCATAATGTTACTATGTCATTAACCAAACAACTAAGAAATGTTGGACTTTCCCAGAAAAAGAAACTCAAGTGAGCCCCCTGCAGCCCCACGGCCATCTGGACTGAGTTCTCTGGGTAGCTGCACGGTACATTGCTGGGTGGAGCTTGTCTGCCTCCCCTGTTCTATAGGATGTCATCACAGGAAACGGGCAAGAAGGTGGTGGCCGGTCCTTGTCTCCCTCCACAGACCCCCTCCCCTGCTTTCCCCATCTGTGTCTCTTTTGTTCAAAAGGAGAGGAAAGTGCATTAAAGAGATGAAGGAAACTGTACCTTAACTATTTTTGAATAAGCATTTGCTTGTTCCTAAAAAATATCACCAGGCCTAATAAATCCACAAATACCTCTACATATTAAATATTTAATAGTTACAGGACACACGATTAGCGTCTAAAAATGTCGTGTGACAGTTTCATCTTCCTTATAGATGAGAATTTTAAAATCTCTTGAACTACACAAG